TTGTGTTGAGTTCATACACTTACAATTGTGCAGTGCGTTCATAATGTTGTTAAATATCAAGGGCGAAATAAAGGCGGCCGATGATGTGGCGGCTCCCTTTCCGGATTGGGACTTAGTGCCCACAAGCCGATCATGGCGAGGGATTATAGGGAGTTGGGATCACAATGGAATATAAATGTTTGTTCAGCGAGGGCTTCATCCTGTGGCCCTGGGTTGTACAATCGACTTAGGACTTAGTGTGTCGATAAGACTTCTATCCTGCTGATGTCTCACTCAGTCCTACGCGTGTAGGAACTTCATCTTGATGATCGTCTTGATTCTTCATGCGCGACGAATAATGAACTTGTACAAGCTTCTATTTAGAGCGTTTCTTCTTTCTCGACTGGTGTATCTGAACTATTTATTATAAATTTTAGCATTATTGTTATTGTTTGCCCAATTCTAGCACTATATTTGTCATCTGAATGACATTGAAGCACTACGAGAAATGGGCCACACTTTGCCCAAATTGCGATGCAATTTTATCCTTGTGAGGTCATTTAATTTCCCAGTTTGGCGTGGCACAATAGCATATCAGTGCTACGTGCAGAAACTATGTCACTAGTTGAACAATATGACCCAATCGTTCATTGTGAGTGTTGTGCATCGTGACATATAAATAATATTGTGTCGCGATCTCACTTTAGACAATTAATTTAGGATCAACGTAAATTTTGAATGTATCGTTTCCAATGTTGAGCGATGTCGCAAAGTAGGAATGACTATCATCGCAGAACAAATACTGTTCCTATCTAGCAAATACTCAATTTGACTGCGAAATATGAGTGCCTTTGTCGGGATGTAAACTCGAACAAGTAAATAGTAAGCGCTCTATCGCGCGTGAGATAACCGTGCTTGAAATCAGATACATTATTTAATTTGGCCAAATCTGCAATTGTACTGATCAAAAAACTATAGTAATTTTTACCGATTCATTAACGTTGTATTCAATTAATGGTTAACTATGTATTCAATGATTTCGTGTTTCAGTTTGTGTGCCACAAGACACGACGTGTAGCAACGTACGTGATCGAGCGTCTCAGTAACGCGGCCGGTGACGTCTTGCATGGTAGCGACGACGACTGCTGATATTCAGAGCAGTTTGCGTCGCCGGAGTTTAGAGGCTTATATTGTTGAGGCTTCCCTCGGCCTCCGCCGCTATACCGGCACCGTCACCGCCGCCACCGAAGCCCTCATTCCGCATGCAAATGAGCGAATTTTTTGCCTCCTCCTCACAAGACCTTGCTACCGACCACGGCTCACGAGAACTGCTATATAAGTTTGCGATATCTGACTGCATTTCCGATGAATGGTTCTTATCTTATCCGGTTCATATATTGCAAAAAAGGTTCAGATAGTATGGGTCTGCAATTGAGATAACTGATGATCAGCTGTTTCAGATTTAAAAATAAATATAGTGATTAGCTCGTGAGTTAGCGACTTACTAGAATCTATAAGCGTCTGTTTGCACAGCCTCAAATGGAGTGTCACTGCGCTGGTGTCCTACACTTAATTCACTTAATTCAAAGGCCAACAGTGACTGAATTGTTATATTGTTATTTAATTTCCACGATCTATTAAGTTACTAATAAAACATCCCGTGAATATACGACCAAAAAATTGTAAGCGGTATTTCATGATACCGTATTTATATCATACGTATAGAAAAATATCTTCGTCTGAACACTCGAATACATACATCTGAGAACTGGATTATAGAAAAACTCCTCACGCTTATAACGATAAAAAAAATTCACATTCGAATTAATAAAAAATTTTCTTCCGTAGGAATTTTTCATATTTTGGAAGAGTGTTCTAAAATTGCTATTAACATTTATTCCAATCGTAGCTAGGCCAGCATATGGCACCTCCATGCATAGTTTTGCTAGCAAATTCACTCAGAAAAATTGTGTTACAAAGATTCACTTGATTGGGTTCAGATTCTATTATCCCAGAAAGAATGAGCCAATGTCTCTTTATTCATGTCAGACATGAATTATTGATCAAGTCGGTCACGTGCAGCCCATGAACAGATTTATGTTAGCCTGACTTAATTAATTATATGTATGGCTGAGTTCATGATCTGTTTCGACCATACATGTTATATGTACAAACTATGCATATTTATTTATGTATAGGCTTTATAGGAAATTTAATGCTACAGAAATGTAGCCTGGGTACATGTCTGATTTTGGTTGAGGGAACATGTCTGATCGCAGTTGAGTGAACATGTCTGATTGCTGTTGAGGGAACATGTCTGATTGCAGTTGAGGGAACATGTCTGATCACAGTTGAGTGAACATGTCTGATTGCTGTTGAGGGAACATGTCTGATTGCAGTTGAGGGAACATGTCTGATTGCAGTTGAGGGAACATGTCTGATTGCAGTTGAGGGAACATGTCTGATTGCAGTTGAGGGAACATGTCTGATCGCAGTTGAGGGAACATGTCTGATTGCAGTTGAGGGAACATGTCTGATTGCAGTTGAGGGAGCATGTCTGATTGCAGTTGAGGGAACATGTCTGATTGATACTTCACTGTCCACCATATCTATTGATCAGATCCCTTGCTTTAGAAGGAGTAACTATAAAAACTTTTTGCTGTTCTCATCGTGTTCTGAATTTAAAATAGACAACTAATTTACTGAGAACTGAACTGATCAATGGTGGAATTTTTGGCGTGTTTTAAGCCACACCCACCAGAGTATGACTCACACTCATCGGAGTATGACACAGACACACCGCAGGCTAATAAGGCGCAGACACAACACAGACACATGTGTGTGCCGCGGCTCACGCTGAGCGCAGGTTAGAGTGTTTTAGAGCCGAGCCAGGGCCGGGACAGAGCAGGACCCCTGCTACGCTAATCCTATTAGCTGAGTACTCCTCAAATATGCCGCAGCATTTCCTTTTAATCCTATTACGCGCGGCTGCCATCCATCGCGCATCCGTACATGGAGTCTCCACGCATACGGTCAGCTCGAGTGGCTGCATGGATGTAGAGCGCGGGTTGTATTCCACTGCTCCAGCTGACCGCTGTGGCTGCTGTGGCTGACTATAACATCTGCAGTGGCTGGCGTGGCTGATGTGGCTGACAAGACGACGTGGCTGATATTCATGTTGCTACTGTGGATGACACGTAAGAGTATTGTCGATAGATACGAATATTGGCGACTGACGCAAGGGCGTGTAGATCGAGTGTGAGCGGACTCAATACAGAGTGCATTGAGTCCGCGCGTATAGAGACATGGGGTGTGCAGGGTGATGACTTATATGTGTTTCATGGCGTGTGTGCGTGTTACACTACAGTACGAAGTGTACAGTTTCTGTAGACTTGTACACTACAACTACAGTAGTACAGAAGTGTACAGAAACTGTACACTTCGTACAGTTCTATTTGAACTTTGTATACATTCTTACCAAACGCAGCACGCCAAAATGAAGATATTTGCCCTCACGCAAATGTTTTTACTATAGATATATTTATTCTAAACATTTCGAGATTGAAAAATCACGCTTTTTTATTATTTGCTTCTAAAAACATCGCAACTCTAATAATTATTGTAAACGTATTACATTTCACACGAGTAGCGGATAATTTGAAGCAAGTTTAGGAATTCTCGGTATTGCCTATGAAGGTTAATTTTTGACGTCAATCGCCATATCCATTCGATACAAAAATTAAGAATTATTTCCACTCCGGGAAGTACTCAATGTAATACAATGCCAAGTCTATATAAAGTGGATTAATTGGGTATCTTTATAAATGTTATAACCGTTATGTAGAAACCATGCAGATGCATGGGAACCTGGAACGATCGATGGTATAGAGTAAAGCGAATATTTTAATTGCTTTTCAAAAAGCATTATTGAAATAAATTCAAACTTTGAAAACTGAAGAAAATTTGTGAAGTTTGAAGTGTTGTTTCGTAAATAATTTTTTGAGGGAAGTCAGTTGCAGTTTACTATGCATGCATGCCATATACGGTACTGTAGACTTCATTATTATAATTATGTCATACTTTAGGTTCAGTGTTAATTATTATTATGATCAAACATTTGTGACACAGTGAAAGATCCAAAATTTGGTGTTAATGTTCAGTCGAGAAGTAAAATCAAACTCTTAAGTGATTTACAATAAACTCAAGTTAAATATGTTGATAGAATACAACTTGCGCCATATATAAAAGGAATTTCCGCAACTCATAATACCAATATGTTCTTCACCATACGCAAAAATAACGTCCCTAGGCGTGCACATAAGAGAATTTTCTGAAGGAATCCTTTATGCTTTTTATGCGGTAGGGCAGCGATCGAGTGGGCGAGTGATGAAGCGAGCTGATAGCGCCCGTGTGTGTCTTGCCTAATGACTTAAAAGCTTCTTGTGTTCACAAGCTGTACTACGTAATGCACGTCAGCGCATCATTACGACCTCGCAGTAGATTGTTAGCTGCGGCAATTATAGCAGTTATCATTATGGATATCTGTGATGAGACCAGCCGGCGATCACAAGACTCAGAACTATCCGGTGATCCTCCATTGACGCCGCCTGAGAGGCTTTAAGCCTTGACTCCGTAAAGGCGATATTGCAGTGAGTGATATGAGACGCAGCCATCAGGTGTGGCTCAACGCCCCCCACAAGCTGGTCGATACCTTGCCCCTTTATTACATTAGCAGGAGGGGCGGCCCTCACTGGCCTCACAGTCCGAAGAGTCCGTTACCGAATCAACAGAAGCGCAACGTAAAAGCTGCGTCCGCCTACTCATTGCCAGCAGCCACAGTCGCCATGGAAACTCTGCGTTCCGTCCAATTGTCGGCGGTCGTCCGGGTGAGTGAGGGGCAAAGGAGGGATCCTGCCACGGCTACGCCTCTCTGTTGTCCGGGTGTCGTGCGTGAGGGGCAAGGGAGGGACCTCGGGAAGGCTACGCCTCTCTGCCGTCCGAGTCTCGTGAGTGCTGCCGCAGCCGTCGCCACGCTGGCTTCCTTGCCCGACCTTCTGCGGGCCCTGCAGGAGCAGCCCAACATGGCGGGACTTTTAGCGGGATTGTCTTCAGCTTATTCTGCAGCAACGCTGCTGGCGCCGTCGCCCCTTGTACTCACGAGCACCTCGAACATGACACCGCATCTGCCGTCCCTGTCCTTCACGGCTACGCAAGTCGCCGCGGTGTGCGAGACGCTAGAGGAAAGTGGTGATATAGAAAGACTTGGTAGATTTCTGTGGTCTTTACCTGTGGCGCATCCGCATTTGAAAGACTTGAACAAGCACGAGGCTGTGGTGCGGGCACGAGCGCTCGTCGCCTTCCATTTAGGCAATTTTCGTGAGCTTTACGCTCTGGTCGAGTGCAACAGATTCTCTCGCGCTTCCTTCCCGCGCCTGCAGGCGCTGTGGCTCGAGGCGCACTACCAGGAAGCTGAGCGACTCAGAGGACGGCCTCTAGGTCCTGTCGACAAGTATCGTGTTAGAAAAAAATTCCCGTTCCCGCGAACTATTTGGGACGGTGAACAGAAATCCCACTGTTTCAAAGAGCGGACCCGGACCCTCCTGAGGGAGGCGTACCTACAGGACCCTTACCCCAACCCCAGCAGGAAGAGAGAGCTCGCCCAGGCCACGACCCTCACCCCAACACAAGTCGGCAACTGGTTTAAGAACAGAAGACAACGAGACAGAGCGGCTGCTATCAAGAATAGGTGAGATATTCAAATTAAATTTTAGTTATAACGTAATAGTTTATTTCTTAGCACTAAACCAAACGGAATTGATTCTCACTTGCGGAAGCAGTTCTTTTGGTCGATTTTCTAAATCTCAGGCATGCCCAACATGACGTCACTCCGCCATTATATGTGCATAAATTTAACTGAGGCACTGCATTGTGCTTGACTGCGAGACGCAATCGTGTGGACCGTGCAGTGTTCAGTCTTGTCATGATACACGCGGTGGAAGACAAGGTAGAACGGCGCCAAAGATGTCGGCGCCACTGGGCATTCATGCATGGAGGCTGGTCAATTATATAACTTTAATGATCGCTGCGTTAATGCCTGTGTAAACATTGGAGTAAATGGCGGCAATGACATTTGTCGTTAATGATTTTGAAAAATTTACAAATTCTTTTACTTAATTCACTTAATAAAATTTGTATTAATTATGAGGATGACAAATTTTTCTTTGATATGCATATTTTATAGATGTTCGATCGCGTTGTGAGCCACAAAGCGGCTCCTATTACTTGAATTTTGTCATAATCACATATTTTGTTACTTATTAATTTCTGTTATATTATCTATTAATATTATTATATTGTATATTAATTATGAAGAATAAATTTTTAGGACCAATTTTATGAGTTTAGGGAAAAAATGAGAACGTGAGGTGGTAAATATTTTTAATGTCATCAGATATATTTAACATATGTTTCCAATACTCGCATATTAACATTCATCTTAATTCTTTCCTTACTCGAGACGCACCTCGGGTACGTTTTGCTTTGCAGAAAGTCAAGATGGTTCTTACATTTTTGGAAATTATAACATTCTGCTAATTAATTTCTGTTTGCGGAAACACATATAATTCCTCGTAATTATTCTAAACTTAATTGTGACATTTCGACTTGTAAAGACACGAGTTTGTAACGGGACCGGCTATCATTATTTTTTTAAGATCCGCCTCAACCATGTCCCTATAAATGACATGCAAATATCGGTGGTGTTATTTTACATGTTAAATTAACGCGCATGTGACACGATTTCGCAGCATGTGACTTGATTGCGTATGTGATTTATTCATGCATTTGACATGACCGTGCATGTGACATGTTCGCATATATATGAAACACGTTCACGACTATGAATTGATCATGTATATATGGGACAGAAATGTTCCTTATCTTACATACAGTTGCATAATATTTGAAAATTAGATTTACCACCTCACGTTCTCATTTTTTATCCCTAAACTCATAAAATTGGTCCTAAAAAAATATCCTTTCATTATGAAAAGAAATTATTCACCATGTGATACGTCTTTCAAAGAATTAAAAATATCTATTTCAATAAACAGTATGCAAGAAAAACTATTGTTAAATTTCGAAGATACAGCTCCTATAATTTCTGACATCGGAATTTGCACTCAAATTTTTAATAAATTACATTTGTTTTAAATAAGTGAATTTAACAAAAAAACTGAAATTCACATGAGGTTCATTATCAATATGAGAGATATATTATACAATTGCAAAGTGTATTCTAAATATCTATGGTAGCTTTGGAAAAACGCATTGAAGAGTTCTAAAGCACAAAGTATTATCAAAAAATGTAGTAGTCCCATCAATGTTTCATAATGTAATTTCCAATATATAGGGCATGATGTCAGTGTATGAATCTATATACTTCAGAACATGCTATTATAACGTACGGGGATATATATCATATAAGTGCATTTGCAGCAATTCGTGGAGTGTCCATAAGGCGGCATAGTTTACTTTATCTTCTATATATAAATCAAAATCTAATTTACAATGTAGCACTCATTGCATGTTCGCTATAGTATGAGGACAAACTGAAGCTTAAATTTGATTAACTGTATGTTATAATCCTTAATTCACATGAATTATACTTGGGTAAAATCAGTCGTAAGTATAAACTTTGCACTTTATACAGTGCCGATATTGAGCATTTATCAAGAAACTTTCAACTCTCAACGAGACTTCAAAAAATTCAAACTCGCGGAGATTTCGTGCGATGTTGCCCGTCGAAGCGAAATGAAAGTTTGCTTGTGTTTCCCTTTATTTAGCGATTTCAAAAACATAAATCTTGTCTGCAGTTGGAGTTTCACGTAACTAATTTTCAGGTCACTTATATTATCAAAATTCCAGTGGAGGTAAATGTTACCCAGCCTAAACAACCGCAGCAATTCTTCACGATGCGATCTGCGGTAATTCTGGTCACTTGAAGACAATGTTTGAACAGTGATCATTTCCATTATCTAAATATGATAACCAGAACAATATTAGAATAACTGATTATTAATGATTATTAGAATTATTGATTATTAGAACAAATTGCTCTAATAATCAACTTACGTTGATTATTAGAGCAATTCTAATGCGACCACGAACATGCGCAAGACGTCGGACCTTGCGAAGACGGCGCGCGTTTTTAAGGTTAACGAAGCGGTTTTTTCCGCAACTCGTGCGTTTATTTGACAAATTATATAGAAGAAAATTTTATACAAATTTTATTAGAACACAAATAACAATCTTCACATAACAATGCGATACAAATTTCTTGAAGAATGAGGAAGTTCGAACTGTGGGATCTTTGAGAAATTAATAAATATTCTGCCACTTGCTTGGGATATATACAACAATTATAAATAATGATGACACTGCAGTGAAAACATGAAATGTGTCAATTGCTGGAGGGCGGTTAGAGAATGTTTAACAATGATTAAATTATTATAGATAGCTTAGTTACGCTCATATTTAATGGTTGATCAGCTGTACTATATAACTACCTATTATATAGTAGTATATGGTTTTATATATAACCTCAATGTATATGTTGCCAACTAAATAACGGATCGTTCATTTACCAGTATCATCTTACTCAAATAATCGGTATCACTAATAGTGACTCAGTATTTCCTTGAAGGTATCTTCTACTAACTCTATGACATATGCGTGGTAAAATATATTGGCAAAGTCATCAGTACTCATGTTGGCTAAATTATTGATTTTGGCTAAATTAATGGTATTTGCTATATCAATATCATTGGCTTGAATAATAGTTTACGCCAAAATAATATTTTTCGGATAAATTATCAGCATAATAATAGTTATTGTCTGAATATCTTTGCTATTACTCCGCTTTACTCGTCTCAATTTAACGATAATTCAAATTCGACCAAATAAAATACGAGTCCTATCATCTTGGGGGGGGGTAAATTGAGCTGTGCACCCCCCTTACCCACACCCCCCATTCACCCCGCACAACCCGAAGTTCTTTTATCGATTTTGGCCCCCAAATTGCGGTAGCTTTTCAATGGAAAAGAATTCCAGCGTAGCAGCGGTGCCGGCGCCGTGCTGGTCCCGTTACGATGCGTTGCGACGATCACGCAACAGCGCCAACAGAGATGTTGGTGACGTATGATAGTGAACAGACGTGATAGTGATGACTACATAGTGCTGCCTCTCCTCAACATACTCCGTACATATCATGCACCTCAACATACTCCACACATATCATGCACCTCAACATACTCCGCGCATATCATGTTCCCCACCATCATGCTGGATCATGTGTCCAGTTATATGTCCCTTAAGGTCCAAAATCACGTTAATTTTCACTCCATATGAACCTTATGAGGGCAAATCCTAAACGGCAGCCCACTCACCCCCCACTCACCCCTCTCCCCACTCCTTCCCTCTCCTCTCTCCCCTCCAAAAACTCCCTCTCTCCCCTCCAAAAACTCCCTCTCTCCCCTCCATAAACTCCCTCTCTCCCCTCTCTATTTAGAGACCTCAACACTCGCTCAAAACTGATCCCGGTCGCCGTAAGTCGGGCCAGATTCTCAGAGATAATCTCGGTCTCGTATATTGCCGGCTGCCAATCCGCGTTCAGCTGCGAAACATCGCGTGCACTGCGTATACTTTTTCACATTCATTAATACTTCACATTCCACATTACTGAATTGCACTTTACATACTCTTTCACCTTCATTATTTGTTCACATTCCGCATCACTTTGTGTAGGAATTGCACTATACATACTCTTTCACATTCATTATTTGTTCACATTCCGCATCACTTTGTGTAGGAATTGCACTATACATACTCTTTCACATTCATTATTTGTTCACATTCCGCATCACTTTGTGTAGGAATTGCACTATACATACTCTTTCACATTCATTATTTGTTCACATTCCACATCACTGTATGTAGGAATTGCACTATACATACTCTTTCACATTCATTAAATGTTCACATTCCACATCACTGTATGTAGGAATCGCAATACTGATACCCATGATGGTGCCACCATGCAGCGATTCTATTGCATTCATTGATTCTAATTCTAATGCATCAAAGATTATAATACCGATACCATCAGTGATATAAACAATGGACTTTAAACTCTAACTGAATATTTTTATTCCTCAATTCTTTTCATTTATAATTCGTGTTTGTTCTCTAATTATTCTTTTCGTGCTCATTTGCCTGTAGAATATAACATGAAAATATTCTTAATACTTACACAAGACCGATTGATGTATCGTACAATTTCGGGGTATATGAACTTTGTCATCCTAAAATGATTTTTTTGTTGATTGATGCCAGTAGTTAGAACATGATTGGATATAATTTATTAAGTGCTCAATATATATGAATTGATGAAAGTTACTAAGTGCTCAATCTTGAATATATATAAGTTATTTAACATTTATCTCCATCATGCCATTTAGTATGTATATTGACGCACGGCTTTTAACATTTACAATGATTGATATACTAGCTTATGAGCAACTCACGAAGATTGCGAACTATTTATTTATTGCTACACGTCCGCGCGTGTGCCTGCGACGCAAATTAACTATAGATTATGATTGATTACTTAAAGTTTTAACGTATAGCATTTATAATGATAGAGAAAACCATGGAATAGTCTTGTTTAGGCACTATTTTTTGAATGAT